CACACACACACACACACACACACACACACACACACACACACACACACACACACACACACACACACACACACACACACACACACACACACACACGCAGCATGTGGTATAGTTACCGCATGCCATGGACTACACTGGCTCCCTCCATCACTTCATCACTCACTCTCTGACTCGCTCGCTCCCTGACTTACTCTCTTGCACTGGGTCTTCCCACCATCCAATCCTCCTTTTGCTCACTCACTCAGACATTCCACACTTGCTCATTCACTTGCTGGTAGTTGATGCCTCTCTCCATCGCTCACTCCGTCACTCCCTCTTTACACTGGGTCATCCACCCATCCCTCCGTCATTTGCTCACTCACTCACACACTGCCCACTTGCTTGCTTAATCACTTACTCACTCACTACCTCCCCCTCACGCTCTCTACTCACTCTTTCTCCCTCTTTTGCTCTCTCACTCGCTACTCACTCACCCATAGCAGCACACCTCACCACTAGGTCACCTATCCATTAGCCCACCTGCTTCCTCGCCTGCACTCTCACTCGCTCGCTCATGTTTGCACTGACACATGCACTCTCACACCCACCCACCCACTTACTCAACTGTCCACCCGCCCACCTACTCACCCACCCATCGACTTACCGACACACTCGTTCACCCACCCATCCACTCACTAACCAACCTGCGCATCCACTCACCTCACACACCCTCACGCACCCACCCACTCACTCACCCATGTGCTCACACACCAACCCACTTACTCACCTACTCACTCACTTGCCTACCGATACATGCTGACCCACTCACCCTCACTCACTCACAGCCCACTTACTCACCCAGTCACACATCCGCCCACTCACTCACTCGCCTACCCATACATCCACCCATCCCCCCAACTCGTCCACCCACTCACCCACCTGCGCACTTGCTCACACACACACACACACGCCTGCTCACTCACCCACCTATCCGCACACTCATTTGATTGATCATTCATCCAGCCATGCATCTGCTAGCTCACTTGCTCACTCACAATAGTCTAGTTCTGTTGGCCTTTGAGCCAAGAAATCAGCGGGCAGCTGAGCTGCCTGGATGATCGTCAAGGCAAATTGAGGCGTATCTAGGGCCGGGCAAACAGCGGTGATATCGGAAAAGGCAGCTCTAATTGCTGATCCCAGCTGTTCTTGTCCAGCCGGATAAACATATTTCAATCGGACTGTCCATCCTGATGTGCAGGCTTCATTTGTCCATCAGGCTGAGATTGATGATGTGGTGAACTGGGTTGCATTATGAATCACTCTACCATGATCCATCTGTCATGCTTTTGCTTCTCTCTTGCAGATAACCCTTCATCTGCAGCAAGAGAGATCAATCCACTTGGGGGCTACAGCATGGTCCAGGTTTCATGATCAGTAATATCCTGCACAGAAGCCTTCGTCTGCCGCAAGAGACATCCATAAAATTGGGGGTTATAATGTGGTCTGCGTGTCCTGATTACTTATTTCATGCGCAGAACTTTCACCACAGCTTGGGGGTTATAGCTTGGTCATTGGATAGTTGCGATTGTTGAATGCGTAGTCAGACCGCCAATGGTGAAGAGTCAGTGAAGACCTTTTGGAGTCCTTGCCTGCTGCATAGGGGGAAGGCCCAATTCATTTCATGCCCTATGGCCTGCTGGGTTTTGTTTACGATGAGAGTGGTGATAGTCGGCTTTGTTCCTTGCTGTGTCAACGGGTTTCTGTGTCACTGCTCTCTTGGTGTCCAACCTGTCTGCCTGCCCACCTGCCCACCCAACTGCCTTGCTGTTCAGCAAGCACCTTGTTCCCTAACTGATTACTACGCTGCCCTGCTGCTTGCCTTGCCTTGCCGCCTTGCCGCCTTGTCTCCCCTTGTTGCTCGCCGTGCTGCCCTGCTGCTTGGCTTCTCATGCTGCCTTGCTGCCTACAGTACTTGCCTACCGTCTTCACCCGAATAGAATGGCCGGTAATTATCGAAGTATATGGGCTGAAATTTGTGCCAAATACAGTTATAATGACCGGGCGTTCTATTGGGGTGAGAAGGTAGTTGCCTAATTGCCTTGTTGCCTTGCTGCCTAGTTGCACTGCAGATTTTGGCAATGCTGATGGCAGGATGATGATGAGAAACTTGGCTATCTCAGGAGGGGTGAAAATGCTGAGGGCAACTACGGAAGGCTAACGAGTACAAGAAGGGTAAAAAGATAATTAAGGGGATGGTTCGTGGTAGTTTTGGATCTCTGCTGACTTGAATGTCTTGATTGATGTTTTATTGACTCCAGGTTGCTGTCATGGTGGAAGTTGTGCCTGTGGCGGGTGCACGTTCAGCTCTGTGTGCACTCTCAATTCTTCCTTCAGCCATGATCACCACAAAGCCAAAGATTGCTGTCCGCTTACTCGCAGCTTCATCGACCTAGGCCCTAGGGGTGCCCAATTTTCCTCACTGACAACTAAGCCAATGAGGGGAGCACACCTTGACAGCAGCCTTGTGGCTGAATGGTACACACATGAAGCTGTTGATAAACAGATCATGAGTTCAAATCCTGAAGCAGCGAAGCTGAAGATTGCTATTCGCTTACTTGTAAGTTGTAACGTTATCGAGCTGGGGCATCCAGTAATATTCCTCATGGACAACGAAGCCCAAGAGGAGAGAGACTTTGTCATAGACTTGTGATTGAGTGGCCCTTGCATGTAGTTGTCGATAAAAAGACCATGAGTTTAAAATTCAAACCCTCATGCTGAAGATTGTTATCCGCTTGTGTAACTTTATCGATCTAGCGCATCCAACTTTCCTCACGGACAACCAAGCCACAGAAGAGAAAAAAAAAAAAGAGAGAGAGAGAGAGAAAATAATAATAAGAATAATAATTTAAAGAGAGAGAGAGAGAGAGAGAGAGAGAGAGAGAGAGAGAGAGAGAGAGAGAGAGAGAGAGACTTGACACCAGCCTTGTGGTTGCATGGCACACACACATAGCTGTTCGTAAACAGATCACGAGTTCAAATCCTGAAGTGGAAGGTTGCTGTTCGCTTACATGTAACTTTTTCAAGCTAGGGTATCCAACATTCCTCACAAACAACGAAGCGAACAAGGGGAGAGCCTTGACACAGCCTTGTGGCTGAATAGCGCACGCAGATGGGTATTGATGAGCAACAGATCACGAGTTCAAATCCTGATGTATACAATAGTGTTAGGGGCTGAACCCCTCTCAAGAACAACAAACAGGAGAGGGTGCGGCTATGGGTTTTACTAAGGAAAAAATGAAACAGTTTTCACCTTTGGCAGTAGCCGATGCAGATCCCAGGGGTTGATCCCTTGACCTCAGCTTACCTGTGTACAGTATCTGCACAGTTCCCTGGAGTTGAACCCGTGACCTGCACGATAGCCAGTGGTAAGTAGGTC